ATATCGTTGTTAGCCGTGTTAGTTTCTTCATCACTGGATGACGAATCATCAATTACAACACGACGGTACTGACGACGCTGTGACATCGTGCCTGTTTGATTACCATTATCATGATTTTATCGTGATTTTTTTCTTTTATTACTGATGAACAACGATTTGAACGTTAAAATTAAGCAAAAGAAAGAGAGCAGGATGGGGAACCTTTATTCATTTAAAAAACGTCTTTTCCAGCATCAACTGTAAAAGCAAAATTCATTGTATTATCAGTTCTGTTGTATGGAAGTGAAACATGAAATACCACACTTGCTGTGAAGGAAAACTTGGCAATGAGCCATGGGACGATGTATGATAACTGACAGTAAGTTGCAGCGCTTTTTCAATAAAAAGTACTGCGGCTACCAGTCTGTGTTAGTGATATTATCAAAACAATGTACGCTAGACAGAATGTTAAGTCCTCATGTGGTCCTTGACTGCAGCAGCGGAAGACAGGGAAAAATACCAGCACTTTATTCTTCCAACAAGAGCTTCGCTTCAAGTAAAACGACGAGTGGAACGACATGTAAAACGACGAGCTGGGGCACCACACAAGCTGTTCAGCAGAAAGACGCTGGTGGTGTTGAGGCAAGACGCTAGCAGCGTTAGTAGTGGCAGAACGTAGCCAACGAATGGCGTTTTGTTGATTCCCAAAACTAAGGGCCTGGGTTTTAGGAAGGAAATTGAAGTGTAGGGTTACAAGAATAGTTGGGCTAGTCATGTGGTAAGAATAAGAGACAACAGATGAACAAAACGGATTGTTGAATGGTAATTAGGCAATATTAAAAGAACACAGTGAAAGGTGCCAATGCTTTGGAAAGATCCGTTTGAACGCCCTACATTGAATTTTATGAAGAAACCGAGAATAGAGAAGAATGGAGAAATTGCTAGCTGCTGCAAAAATGGCAAGAAGAAATGTGAAGATGTAAAAATAGGCAAAATATTATAGCACCCATATTAAATTAAATTAAGATATTTTATGATTATAAAAAATTGTAAAAAGATGAAAATTAAAAATGTGAATAAAAATAAATTTTGCATTCATATCCATCAATTTCTGCTTTTGCCGAATCTTAAGCAGAGCTATTTATATGACGTGAACCCGTATGACTCACTCGGTACGATGCACGGGACACTTACTTGATCCATTAAAATATATAATTTTCAAACAATCTCACTAGATATTGAATTTGGGGGAGATTTTGTGGGTGCCGTTATAGTTAACCCTTTTTCGTTCCTTAGAGATCGTCCGGGAAGGGAGTTTTTTGCTTCCTTGCATCTAGCATCTACAACGATATTTGTCGCACATCCATAGGCGGGTCCGAGGGAGGGAGAGGGGGGAGGGCTTCTCACCGGTATGAGTTCGCCTTTGTCTCTGCAGGCTTGTTTTCCGGCCGAAGCTCGAATTGCAGTGATCGCATTTGAACGGCTTCGGGGCAGGAGGTGGTTCTCTTCCTCCCGCCCCCTCACCCACCCGTCGTTCTCCCTCCTCCGAAGCTCCACCCTCCCTCTCCTTCGAAGTTCCATTCTCAAGTGTATATTAGCCTATGCGCATATTCCAGCATTTTTGCGGTTCAGCAAAGGTCAAGAGCGGACGGACAGGGATAAAGGAAGATTAAACATCCCTTTGCCCCTCAGGTTAGGTCACCTACCCATCCAATCCGCACGAAACAAGTACCCCCTCACCATCCCCTTCCCCTCGAAACCGACCGCTACGCCAACAGATGTTCAGCATTTCAAACAATGACCAGTGGCGCAATCTCGCATCTATTGTAGCCCTATAGCACCTGGTCAGCGCAAAAACCCCTTAGGAAGCGAGCAGTGTTTGGATTATTTGTGTTTTGGCGGCTATTTAAACAGCATTATGGTAGCCTGTTGTTTTAATGTCGCTGCGGATGCAGCTGGTAACTTCTCCATTCTTCTCTATTTTAGGCTTCTCTCATCCACATAATTCCATGCAGCTGTTCAAATGAATTTCCCCGCCGCAATTACAGTATTCCCTGTGTTCTTCAGCACTGCATACGTGCCATACGTTAAGTTCACTTTGTCTATTTGTTGTCTCTTAGTCTTGTCACATGACCAGTCTAACTCTTCCTTCTGGCGTACATTGTCTTGATAATATCGCTCACTTCAGATCGAAATCACTGTACTTGATTGCAAGTCTGCTGCAAAAAAGATAGTAATGATAATGTTTTGATCTATAAATTCATATACATTCTTATTCAGCACGATAATTGGACCTTGTCAGGACATTGGCTTGATTGCCAAATGTTTCCATGACGGTAACAGGGGTGATAACGCAGAACATAAACATCACAAGAATTTGTTTAATCTGAAACAAAATTGAATCTTTTCGGAAATTGATTGCCAAAAAAATCCGCTAGGGGTTAAAAAAATGTGTGTAAGCTTGTGTTAGAGAAAAACTTGCCAGCGAGTGGTTGCTGTTTTATATTTCCTATTAGCCGTGAATTTCCCGAGTGCCTTCGCCTCTTACTGAGGGTGAATTCCGAGAATGAGGAAAGAGGGGGGAGGGATGGAAGGGGGGAAGGAGGAAGAAAAGGACTTTAACGCAGGAGTCCTCTGCCCATATACAACCCCGCAAATTTAAATTCGGCTTTCACATACACTGAGGCTCATGTTAAAATGGTGGTACTGAGACGCTCGCATAAGCTTTACCTCACAACTGTGCCACTTTTCAAGTACTTTTGCATAATTAATTATTCGAACTTCGCGCTGTCAAATCTGCATAGAATTGAGTTGAACTCGTGTTTTAAACAACTATAAAAGTGGCAAAATTGAAAGTTAGCACATTATTGTTAACAATGATCATAGTGACGCTTGTTGCCCTAATTCTTCCAGTTTCAATTTTTTCGGATCAGCTGCGAGACAAAACCATTTCACAACGATGTGATGCCCTACAAGGTTCCAAATGTGAATGCGCAGACAAAACTAGTAAGTATTTTCCAGACGGGGCAGGTCTACCAACGTGAAGAAATAGTCCTTTCATTTCTCCAGGATGCGGGGGAAAGGGATTTTGTTTACCTCACATTTTTGGGTAGATTTCACCCGGTTTTACCTACGTGTATTTCATTGCAATCACGTGGCAAAGCAAATTCTGGTGGTAAGTCTACGATGCTTGCCTGACCAAAAACCAATGGACATCGCACGTTAACGAGTGATACTCGCCAAAAAATAAACGACCACTCGGGCGGCTTCCGAAGATATTGCGCACATACGCCGAATAAGCAGTGGGTGCTAACTGGAACTGTGCATTCTTGAACTGAGGGGCCTAGCAAAATCTCATCCGATGTGTGAGCGTACCCCGGTGACATCACTGACGTGGGATAACCAAACTGATAGCTTGGGCAGCACTGCTTTGTTTAGCATCTTTTTCATTGTAATTCACTTATTAGCGATTTTTAATAGTCAGCGGTTCCATGGTTGCTGTGGACGGACGTGCGTCACATAACAATCAACCTAAACAGCCAATCTTTTCCCCATTTTCAAGATATTTAGAAAATTATGCATATTATCAAACTTCCAATAATTCTGAATCAATATTTTGAACAACTTTTCTCTGAAAAGAAAGAGTCTGCTACTCAAGCTTGATTCCAACGACTCGAATTTGATCATCTTTTGTTTCATTGTTGCATTTCTTTACGCCATACGGAAGCAACTGGTAAATTCTTCATTCTCCTCTGTTCTGAATTCCTTATAAATAGATATCAAAAATGTATCATGCGGCTTCTGAGAAGCAAATTCCTGGATTACGCGAGCAGTTGCTTGTACTTTTTCGAAGCATTTGCAGTTCAATGGGAGCAAAGCGGAGAGGCATTCCTGGGTGTACGCGAAACGTACGAAGGAAAAGAAAAGCTTATTTGCTACGTAACCGAATTTATCAATACTACTGGACGCCCAGAGGCACACGTATGTCTCAAAATTTCCTGAGGATGCAGTGAACATAACGCAGTAGTGGGTGATGCTTGCTAACAAGAGAAAGGCCGACAGGCTGCGCACACAAGTAGGACAAGTTAGAAGTGTGCAAAAATAAGTTTGAAGCACTAGGGAACTGAACACTCCTCTTTATACCCAGAAGCAGCGTGCTACCCACTGCACCAGCTGTTTTTATGCTTGAGGATTAACCTGGCAGCACATCTACTGTGTATTGCCTTTCAAGGTAGAATACACCTTTCTTAGTTACCTCATACAGTCTGCGTATATCTTTTTCTTTGCCAACCTTTCGCGGATTTTTCGCGAACCTGATCCAGGAGAATGGGAGCATCCGGGTAAGAACATTAACATGAAATAGCTGCAGTGATTGCCGGCACTCCTGATTTTTCTGGTACTTTATGTTGCATGTTGAAAATGTTCTTGTAGTAACGTTATTAACATGACATATCCGCACCGGTTATCAGTATTCTTGTTTTTAGTTTTTACAGGATAGAGCTGATCAAGTGCACTGTAAACCGTTGTCTCAACTCT